GCACACAACAAAGAACTTTGTCGAGTTTCGTATAACCATTTCCTTCTATTAACTATGGTGCACAATATGAGTAAGGGCCTCAGCGCTGGCTTAAAGGACTCATATATATCTGCATCCTAAGGCCAGCCATTGGTTTCCACCAATCTTATTTCCACGATATTGTTGTGCAACGTGCATGTCAGTGCATTTGACAAACTTATTTTTTCAGCAATGATTTTTATTCGCGCAGGTCATCCTCAAACCTTCACTGCCGTTTGGATATTTCCCACTTTCCGCGAATTAGTAAAAGTCGTCCTATTACCTCGCAATATCTACCATTCCCTGAAAAGGGTTTCACCTAATCAGGGCTGCTTAGGACTGTGAAATTTTCCAGGAAAAGAAATCAGATGTTCCAAGAAACGCAGTTTTCCGAGCACAAACGCAATGAAACTGTTTGAATGTTTGCTTTACACTCTCTCCTCCGCAGAGGTTCGAAACATTCGTTATAGAAAGCCCCTGCGCGAGGTGAGTGCAGGCGCAAAATACACGTAACCTTGCGCCTGCACTCATATCGTTCAGCGAAAAAAAAAAAACCTTTGAGGCTTTGCGGAGGAAAGAGTGCCTTACACGTGAACATGTATCAAAACGTAACAACGCGAACTAATCAAAACAAAAGACAAACTCAAATCAAGTTTCACTTTTATTTGCCAATACCAATATACTTGGTCAGCTGCAAATTCAAATTCACCGTGCGCAGCCCGGTTTCGGAGGGGAAAACACTTCCATACTTCATTACATTACTTTATAAATATTCACCTAAGACAAATCACGTAGCACTGCGTGACACGCGTGGGTGAGCGACTAGAAAACTTGGTTACTTGGTCTAATATTAAATATGTTTTTGAAAAACTATTTCTCAAGTGGGTATTTGTATCTTCTCAAACTCGTTGATAATTAATAAATTAAACAAAGGGAATCACGTGACTACGTTTGGATATTTGGAGCCCGTTTCTCGAAAGCCCCGGAAACTTTTCGGGCCCACAAAGCCATTTTTAGATAATCTGTACCAAAAAACCGAGAGGTGTATACGCTTGAAACTCCCTGTATGAAGAGAACCTCTGCTGATATTGAGAATATGTGAATAAAACAGCTCTGTAATCATAAGGTTCGAGATTTTCCTTCGGCTTTCCGGTTGCGAAAACCTTTCGGGACCTTCGAGAAACGGGCTCCTGATCTTACTTAGCACAATTTTTTTTTTCTATAATTTTGTTTATCAGTTTTCTCCTTAGTTTTAGCTTAAACTGAGAAGATATATCAAAAACTCAAGACCATGTTTGACCACGTTTCCAAAAACCTCGTAGTTCCTCAAAAGTACTCCGCTACGCGTCGAATTTTTAGCTCTCGTCTCGGTGTTTGGAAATGTGGTCAAACACGGTCTTTTGTGTTTGCTATATTACATCTTTATGCGTTCAGTTTATTTTCAAGCGTACGTGGCTACTGGACATATTGCCAGCAAAAACTGAGCTACCTTCTAATGGTCAGCTAAAAGGAAATCTTTGTTTACAATATTTGCCTGAATAGCACAACCGATACAGTTTCTAATCAAATTACAAAAATTGGCATAGCACGATTAACTGGAACTGTCCCATTTTACAAAGAATGTAGGAACTCATTAGCGCTTTTGGCACCTAGAAATTTTGCAGTTTTTGAAAGCCAATTTCTCCGCACCCAAAGAGCGAAAAATTTCACTAATTACTAAGTTTGACAAGCTCTTGGGATGTTTGTAGTCAGTTCGCGTCTAGTGTGATACCTTCTCTACGCAAAGTCGTATGTTAATGACGAAAAATGCAACAATGACGTCGGCACACATTCGCCCGTAAGGTATGCTATGTGTCTGCTGTTTATTTCCTACCGACCAGCGGCAACATCACGTGACTAAAACAGCTGGTCATCTTCATCGTCGTCTCCCTCGACAATGGCTTCAAGTTTCTTGACGATTCCGTTCAACATCTTGTGAATCTCCTCCTGGTTACACTGCATTGTCTTCATTCGATTCTTCAGTCCTGTCACAGTTTCCTGAAGTTCCTCTGTTCGATCATTTAATCTTACAAGTGGACTCTACAACGAAAACCAACAGACTCAATAAAATCATTTCCTGTGAAGACCCAGGGGAAGGGAATCCCATATAAAATGGACGGGGGTGCTCGTCGGAAATGTTGAAAAGAACCCTTAAGAGATACCAGGATCCTGTCTTGTGGCCGTTGCTTGAAAATTTTTTTACCCCAAACTCTGACTTTTTTCCACTCAATACCTTAAAAGATACCGCGAAAGCTTCCGATGTGGACCCTTTGAAACTGAACACCCTAGGAGGTACCAAGCCTACTTTTTTAACCCCTAAAAGGTCCTTTTTATATGGGAGTCTGGGGACGTATGCTAGTCAGTTCATAATGTGTTAACCTCCCTCCTCCCTCGCATTCTCTTAGGTTGTCCTATCATTTAGCCGGTACCTAGGTAAACTTTCCATACATATAGCTATAGACAAAATCTACGCTTCACCAATATCAGGTAAACGTATTTATTTATTGCTGAAGTGACTAACTAATCTAATCGATTGCTTGCTTGCTACTTGTTTGGTGGGTTGATTCAACGATGAATTGAGGAAATGACTGATTGACTGGCTTTGTGATTGTCTGACTGATGAAGTCCTGACTGACTGTCTGTCTGACTAACTGTCTTACTGACTGTCTGACTGTTTGACTGACTGATTGACGGTTTGACTGACTTACTGACTGACTGACTGACCGACTGACTGGCTGGCTGACTGGCTGACTGACTGACTGACTGACTGACTGACTGACTGATCGATTGACTGACTGGCTGTCTGACTGACTGACTGCCTGACTGACGGATTGACTGACTGATTTACTAATAAGAGATAGGACATTTAACACTTAATGACTGGTCCCGAGGGGAACAGTGAATTGTTTCCCGAGAATCTTCATGCTTCCCGAGACGAAGTCGAGGGAAACATTGAGATTCGAGGGAAACAAAATTCACTATTCCCCAAGGGACCAGTCATTAAGTGATTTGTTCTATAGCAAAACAAAACAAAAGCAAATTCTGAAAAACGCACTGAGATTCCAGCGACAACATCAGGCCACCTTCAACTGCAGGCTCTGATCACGCGCAACAGCGGTCAACATTTCGCGGGTAACAGTGAACAGTTTCCCGTTTGACGTCGTAGTTTTCGCAATGTTGCCCGCTCATGGCACTTGGCGCTAAGCAGTTTCATTGTTAGATGAATGGGCGCGCTGTAGCGGGAAAAACGCCAGCTATACAACAATGTCCCTTATTTACCAACCGTTCGAATAAAATATGTAGATTTAGGCCAGCCTAAAAGCATAGCTCCTGGATCGGGTTGTTCAGAGCCAAGTTAAGCTAACCCAGGAAAAGGTAGAATTTTGATTTGAGTTTTGCAACTTTGCGTTGAGGTTTTCTGTATATTGTTTGGCCTTCTGTTTTGAGTTTTTATAATCACTATATATACAAAACAAAGCGGCCAAAAACATTTGTATAGAAGAAAAAGTTATAATTCGGTTAACTTTTAATCCTGGGTTGGCGTTAACCGGCTTCTGAACAATCCTGTCCTGTTTTCAACAAGTTAACCTGAGAGAGCCCACGATCCAATCAAAAACCCAGCACTTGGTCAGCGGTCAACTTTAAAAAACACTCGACCTCAATGAGCTGTAAACTTGAGCCCGCAATATGATCACATGATACTGGTCAGCGGATACCTTGTTTTGACAGGTGTCAATTGAAAATAACTTGGATGTCCAATATCAAAGAAGTACACTGTAAACCAAGGCTGCATATCTCTGTCAACCTATTATTTTGAGTATGGCCGCCATGTTACGCGACTCCGTCCCCGTCGCCGTCGTGCGTACGCGCCCACGAGCAATACCGCTAGCCATGATAACCACGAGAGAATCAACTCACGGGTTTCCTTTTCTTTCCTATATAAGTATGGGGCTCCGCTTGGCGGCCCTTCGGGCCGCCGGAGCTCCGCTATAATTGACTGGCTGACTGACTTATTGAGCATCTTACTGACTGACTGACTTACCGACTTTCTATCTGACTGACTAGGTGTCTGTCTGTTTGATAGACTGACCGTCTGACTGACTGTCACCGTTGCCTGGCTCGTCAAGCAAAACCCCTCCGAGAAGAAGCGTTACGCGTGACACTGACCTTTTTTGGGTTAAGTGCGGTTTGGATATCCTCTGCAGAGATAGGCGGACTGTACCAGTAGCGTTTGAATCCGTAGTACTGATTTGGCCGAATTATTTGCTTGTCTGGAACAAAACGTTTTCGAAGACCTCTTGGCAAAGCTTTCTCTACATCCATTGCTAAATCAACCTTCAATAAAGAAGAAAACGTCTATCAGTTATTCATAACCATGTGATTACTGACAATATATATTCTTAAACAATTCGTGCCAGACCGTTCCTCATAAAATTGTGCAGGAAATTGGTCCTTCAAAACCCTTGCCAGCAAACTGTAACAAAAATATTTAAGAGTGCCTACCTGTAAAAATCAGACAAATTCTTAATTTCGCGGCAAGGGTCGAAAATTCGATTTCGCTCATATTCCTATGGTAGATAGGCTAGG